GCCGAGGCGAGAGGATTGCCAGAGCCCAGGGGTTCGAGACCAGCCTGGGCAACTTGGCGAGACCTGGTCTCTACAATAAATCAAAAAATTAGCCAGGCATGGTGGCACATGCCTGTAGTTCCAGCTACTTGGGAGGCTGACGGAAGGATTGCCTGAACCCAGAGAGTCGAGGCTGGGTTGGCTGTAAGTGTGCCACTGCACTCCAGCCTGGGCGACAGAGTGAGACTCCAACTCAAAAAAAAAAAAAAAAATTAGCTAAGTATGGTGGCACATGCCTGTGATTCCAGCTACTTGGAAGGCTGAGGCAGAAGGATTGCCTGAGCCCAGCAGGTTGAGGCTGTGGTGGCCGTGAGCATGCCACTGCACTTGAGCCTGGGTGACAGAGTAAGATTCCAACTCAAAAAAAAAAAAAAAATACCAGAACAATGGCAAGGACTGCTGTGTCTGGAGCTGGGTGGTGGCTTACACCTGTAACCCCAGCACTTTGGGAAGTGAGGCCATAGGATCACTTGTGCCCAGTTTGAGACTAGTCTGGGCAACATAGTGAGACTGCATCTCTACAAAAAAATTAAAAATAGTATCTGGGTGTGGTGATACGTGCTTGAGGTCCAAGCTACTTGGGAGGCTGAGACAAAAGGATCACTTGAGTCCAGGAGTTCAAGAGTGCAGTGAGCAATGATCACGCTACTGCACTCCAGCCTGGGCAACATGGTAAGACCCTATTTTTTTATTTTTAATTTATTTTAATTTATTTTATTTTTTTGAGTTGGAGTCTCACTCTGTCACCCAGACTGGAGTGCAGTGGCTGCTCCTGGCCACCGCAGCCTCAACCTGCTGGGCTCCGGCGATCCTTCCGCCTCAGCCTTCCAAGTAGCTGGAACTACAGGTGCGCGCTACCACGGCCGGCTAATTTTTTGATTTATTGTAGAGATGAGGTCTCGCCAAGTTGCCCAGGCAGATCTCGAACCCACAGGCTCAGGCAATCCACTCACCTCAGCCTCCCAAAGGCGCGGGATTACAGGCTGAGCCACCGAGCCCGGCTGTATTTAGTCTTTTTTTGAGTCAAACTCTCCCTCTGTTGCCCTGGCTGGAGTGGAGTGGCACACTCACAGCTGGTAGCCTTGACCTACTGGCCTCAGGGAATCCTTCCTCCTCAGCCTTCCAAGTAGATGGAACTACAGGGGCATGCCACCACACCCAGCTAATTTTTGGATTTATTGTAGAGACAAGTCTTGCCAAGTTACCCAGGCTGGTCTCAAACCCCTGGACTCAATCCTCTTACCTTCGCTGCCTGCCCAGCTAGATTTGGTATTCAACCTCATTTTTTGACATGCAACTCCTAAGTTTCCAAAGTGATGTGTTTGTGTATACTAATGATTGACTGGTGGCCGGCAGCCCCTAGGTAGTAGCTTCAGGGTGGGGGCTGGTCACCAGAAAGATCTAGACAGGATTAGAGGTTTGGGAACCTCTGGAGAGAGGAGGGAAGGGCTGAAGATTAAGTAGATCACAAATGGCTGATGGCTTAATCAGTTATGCCTACATAATGAAACATCCATAAAAACTAAAAGAACTGGGCTTGTGGGGCTTCCAAATTGCTGAGTACCTGGAGGTTTTTGGAAGGTGGTCCACCTGAAGACCGCATGGAAGCTTCCCACCCTTCCCCCTATACCTCACCCTATGCACCTCTTAGTCTATATCTGTGGCCAGGTGCTGTGGCTCATGCCTGTAATCCCTGCACTTTGGGAAGGTGGAGGTTAGAGGATTCCCTGAGCCCAAAGGGTTTGAGACGAGCCCGGGCAACTTGGCGAGACCTCATCTCAATGATAAATCAGAAAATTAGCTGGGTGTGGTGGAGCACACCTGTGGTTCCAGCTACTTGTAAGGCCGAGGTAGAAGGATCGCCTGAGCCCAGCAGGTCGAGGCTGCGGTGACTGTGAGCGTGCCACTACACTCTAGCCTGGGCGACAGTGAGACTCTGACACTCACACACACAAATCTGTATCTATTAGGTAAAAATCCCGATGGGGAACCTCCAAAATGTTAAGTCAGGCCCAATGGGGGTGTGTGCCTGATCCAGAGCCACCAGAAGCATGCAGAGAATTGCACAGAAGTTAGATTGGAAAATACAGTTTATTTAGAAAGTAAATTTTAGGGAGGAGAGAGGAGATTCACCTTTCCAAGGTGCGCGGGGGACGGGGAGGGGGCAAAGCTAAGAAACATGGCGGTCATAACTCAAAGAGCCATGTTGACACACCAGAGTTTAACAAAGCAATGACTGGCCACTCAGAGTTTAATCCTTTTTTATTTTTATTTTTTTTGAGTTGGAGTCTCACTCTGTCGCCCAGACTGGAGTGCA